TCTTATACATGTTGTCTAGGTTATGCAACCCCCTCAGGCAACTGTCGCCTGTCAAGGCCGACACAGTCTGAGAGCATGTGACTTTATTTACCACCAGTCACTGGCAATGTGCTGCCACAGAGGCAAATTTATTCTGATAACGAGTCACACAACCTTAACTGCCACAATGCCACTTCTGCTGTGATAAGTACATTTTTTCACATACTTTGGGGGAACTTGGGTGGGTTGTCGTTGACGTCTGTCAGCGTGATGTTGATGGTGGTCGAGCCAGAGAGGCCTCCAACCTGGCCTGCCATGTCTTTGGCCTGGATGACAACAGTGTAGTGCTCTCTTGCTTCACGGTCCATGTTTGATAAGGCTGTCCTGATGACCCCTGTGAGGTTAGAAGAGAGAAACTAGTGTGAATGAAAATAAAATTCTATGCATTCAATAGAAAGATGTGTTCCTGGTTAAAAGCACCAAACGTATACAGGAATGGTTCAGTCATCTTATATAAAAGTGTGCCTTGGATACACATATAAGAAGTAAAAAGAAGTTATTTGAGGATTTGCCTGATATTTTTTTTCCTAGTTAAACCACTCAGACACGGCTTTTCACACAGCTCTGTATCACACCTTTGAGACTAATCTCTAAATCCCCATTTCTTTATGTAATAACATTTCTATAAAACTCTTAATGAGGCCAAAACACACCATGTATGGAAACCACTCTGTCTCATTTATTCCCACTGTCACAACAAGCACCATAAACGTTCACGAAGTTAACTCTGTAATACATACCAGCACATCTGCTGTTATAGAGACACCAACAGTGCTCTACTAACAAGCCAAAAAGACAGAAACAGCATTTACTGGATGTGTTGCTGGCTGGAAGATGATCCTGTGCAAATATATGTGTGTGTTGTTGTGGATGCTTTATTATGTCTGTTAATTCATATGTGTTTTTTGTGTGTTTCTGTCAGTGTTAACAAGTTAATACCCAATCTTGGTTCTTGGAACCTAACCAGCACATGGAGCCTGATTTAATATATTTAACATCTTATATCTGTGTTCATTGCGAATTGTGCTTTCCCCAGAGAAGGAACCCTCTGGCCAACATTCATTGTGTGTTTTTTTCTGAACTTGTGAACCTTTTTTTCATTACTGTGGTGAGTTGAAATTAAAACAAGCAACTCTTGTAAGATCACTAAAGAGGATCAGAGACAGAAAGACAATGATGCAGCCTTTCTCTTACTTTCCAGTGCATTAGAATCCTCTCAGACTGGGATATCAAAACTCAAATTTTAGTTTAGCAAATCACAAATATCTACAAATCTTATATATGCAACTAATACTAGATACTGTCCAGGCGGTGTTTCTGTAAATTAACTGTGAATAGATTTCCCAGAGCTGAATCCCCCTGTTTAATCTCTCTGGATAACCATGTAAACTTCACGCTGGGTATTATGTTATTCTATAAAATCAGGTTTAATGGCTTTTGTATATAACAAGGTTTTTGTAGTTTACCCTGCAATAAACCAACAAAAGCTGTTTTATTCTGCAATTCATTGTAACTCTGATGGTATGTATTTGTATCATGGTGTCATTAAGTAAGGGAAAAAGCAAAGCGGGCTCAATTTCATGGGATATCAAGGCAGATAAATTCATTTAGACCCCCAGGTGGAAAACAAATTCTGTTAAATGGCTTCTCTAAAAACCGGTCTGGCTACATATTTCATTTTATAGTTGAGCATTCAAAATATTTTCTGTGTTCATTGTGGTATATATATATAAATACTAAGAATACTAATGTAATGTATTTACTATGGATTAGGCTGAATGCTTACCCTAATTAATGCAGAGTAAACTGACAGAAGAGCTGGCAGTGAATTATACTTTGGTACATACAGACAGTGATGGGCTGTGCTCTGTTTAATTCCTCGCTGAACTGACAGAGTACATTAACTTTCTCTGTTTGACATGGAAGAGATATGAGAGAAATACACATAAATAATAAACACCAGTATTTACACCAAGGCATTCACTGGGAACTAAATGAGATACTCAAAAATGTTTAAAAGACCGATCTGATTTATGCACAACTTCACTACTGGAAGATGTTATTTAATTCTTTTTTAAACTTTTTAGCTCAAGCCGCTCAGTCAAAGCTAATCCATAATGAGTGTTTTTTCATGTTGTCTGATGTCTCTCTCCAGATATGATGGTCCTCTATTAGAAAACTTTACTAATGTTCATGGTACAAGAAAATTACAAGTTGTATCAATACAAAAAGAACACTTGGAGAAGAATCTCTCATGAACAGCATTTTGAAAATAAATACAAGACCATTTGAGCTCAACAGCATTTGATTTTAAATTCAGTTTTATGCTGAGCAAATTCAGTTGCCAAACACTCTTTTTACAGGTTTTAGGTGATGATTAATGTCATTCTGATTGTTCTGTAGTGACTGCTGTCTCATTCTGTGAAGCACGGTGGACCTGCTTCTGCATGACTTTCAACTGTACTTCTGGGTAAATTAGACCTTTTTTTCTAAACTAAATCGTTTTTTTCTTTACAGAAAACAAACCAGTTGTTTAGACTAAATCTACCAAAGAAACGAACGAGAAGAAAGTAAAGAAAATTGAGCAAAGGCAAATATAATTTACATATGAAAGGATAAAAACTGTGCTTGCGAGATGTTTCTCTCAGATCAACCATCACATTTTCTACTTTTGATGTATACTTAGCTATTGAAAGGAAATAACAAGATTTAGGGTTCAAATTTTATAACTGTAGGGGTTTCACAGCACAGACGCCAAAGTGCAGCCTGTGTCCATCACTGCAGTTAAGGTTTTGAAAAAGACGACGGAAAATGGTGCCTTGCAAATCATAATGGTTTTTATAAAAACAGAAGATGTCTTTTTTCCGGGCTCCCACAGAGATTGAAAGTGCTCTACAGTACAAATCCAACTAAATCTTTCCACATCTTTGAGCCCATTTTATTTTCGTCAAAGTCTTATTTCTAAATGCCAGGTCTCAGCAGGGATCTGCTGTTTTTCCTTATTTCCAAAGCAACCAAAGTTATCATAAACATGTTCCAAACATGAAGAAAGCTCTCAAAACTTTTCGCTACATAATTTGTAATAAAAGACAGCTCTGCTTTCAGGTACGACACGAACACTAAGCTTTTCTTTATTGTCTATGAGAATCATTGTAAAAACTTAGCGAGCGTGACTAACGAAAATGTGCATCAAAATCCTAAATCTGAGCAAATAAGAGATCGCCACCCGTACATGTGGTGCACGGTCACACAACCAAACAATCATCAACGGACATTCATTTCTAAATTCAATTCTTTAACTTTACAGAGAAGACCACAGGGGGCTTTTTTGGACAGTCAGTACTCTGACACAAAGCTTGGATCCCTGAACTCCCTTTCCTGGCCATCTCTGAGCTTTGATACCTCAGACAGCTCCTGCTAAAATCTCTATGGAGCTCGCAAGTTAATTTAGAAAAATAATTGAGAAAGAGCGGGCTTCCTTGAACCCTAGGCCCCATTTGACACAGTGACGTGGTTAGCCTTTTCCTCAACCTCCCCAGTCTATTTGGCTGATACCATCAGACTATCCACCTCTTTGTCTGGCTGGAAACTTCTAAAGGAGAACAATCTCCCGGGTGAACAAAAAGGATTATAGAAGATTACTAAAGCGTTCTACAATCTCTAGCTTCAGGAATTTTGGTTTTCGGCCCATCAGTGACACTCTTATCCTCCCTTGTCTTCACTGTTGGAAGAATTTGAGGAAAAAGTGGTTGAAAGCACAAAAATCACAAAAATCATAACGGGAAAATAAATATCCCTAAACTGATATCACCGAACATTCTCTAATTGATCTGTAATTGATACATTAATCAGTTGATTTGAGCAAGTAAGCATCACAGCTGACAGCCAAAGTGATAGCTCCCTCTTTGATTTAACTGGAGTGAAGACATAATCTGCTCACAGTAAGAAAAAAAAAAAAGTCTTGATCTGTGCCAGCTCCTTCGATAAACTCAAACACTCACAAATCCCAGATCAGCAGAGAAATTAGCCTATTTAGGATTCAAAGGGGAGTTAGAGGTTCAGTAGTGTGGTGTGCCTGGCATGTGCGTGTGCACGAGTGCAGATGTGAGGTGCTGTTAAGGGGCATTCGACTGTGAGACTTCAGAGAAACAGCCTTGATGTCTCAGAGGGTAAGTGACAGATGCACAGTGGTGAAGGCAAAGACAGGAGTTATGAACCAACAGTAAAAAGGATAAATGCAGCCCCCCATCTAAAATCTGCTCTTGCTGAGTTATGGAAGGCTATTACTAAATTTGCTGGCTTGCAGATTTGAGATTTGCAAACCATGTAATCTAGTAAATCCACTGCGGTGAATG